ACTACAACTCTGCGTGTTTTTCCCTCATTTCCATTCTGTGTTGACCTGCACTAGATGTTCACACATGTCCTGTCTGAGCTGGGGGGGGGGATTGTGAATCGCAGGGCTGGACTCTGATTGGATAATCACATCTCATGCATCGCTCTCACTCCACTCTTAGATTTACTCCACTCTTAAATTTTCACATCTTGACTACTGCTTCTATACTTCCATCTTTCTCTGTTAGGGTAGCTTTGGGGCAGATGGGGTTCCAGTTCAAGTCTTATTGAATCAGAATCTTTATTCACAAAGTGCATAAATGTACAAGGAATTTCTTTTGGTGCAAGTGATGGTGCGACATATCAGTCAAACCTATAACTAAACACTGATCAGCCATAACATTAAATCCTCCTGCCTAATATTGTGCAGATTACCTTCATGCCACTAAAACAGCTCTGACCCATCAAGGCATGGATTCCACAAGACCTCTGAAGGTATCGTGTGGTACACATCAAGGTAGGATGCACATGAATGCCAGCACCCAAGGTTTCCCAGCAGAACATCACCCAGAGCATCACACTGCCTCCACTGACTTGCCTACTTCCCATAGTGCAACCCGGTGCCNGCCAGCACCCAAGGTTTCCCAGCAGAACATCACCCAGAGCATCACACTGCCTCCACTGACTTGCCTACTTCCCATAGTGCAACCCGGTGCCGTCTCCTCCCCAGGTAAACGACGCCCACAGCCGGCTATCCACATGATGTAATGGAGAACATGACTCATCAGACCAGGCCACCTTCTCCCATTGCTCCATGGCCCAGTTCTGATGCTCACGTGCACATTGTAGGTGCTTTCGGTGGTGGACGGGGTCAGCATGGCCACTCTGACCTGTCTATGGCTCCACAGCCCCATATGCAGCAAGCTGCGATTCTCTGTGTGTTCTGACACCTTCCTGTCATAATTAGCATTAAGTTTTTCAGCAATCTGTGCTGCAGTAGCTCTCCTGTGGGATCAGACCAGACGGACTAGCCTTCACTACCCAAGCACATCAATGAGCCTGGGGCACCCATGACCCCATCACCAGTTTACCAGTTGGCATCCCTTAGACCACTGCTGGTAAGTACAGGCCACTGCATAGCGGGAACACTCCCCAAGACCTGCCATTTTGGAGATGCTCTGACCCAGTCGTCTATGTACAAATGACCTTAAGAAGACAATTAGAGTATAAAGCTCATACAGCGAATGATTCAAATATGAAGCCGAGTGCCGATCATGGGTCCTTAAAGACCAAGATTTGAGTATTCAGTTGGGTCAAGACCCATGACAGCTCTGGTCCTTAAAGACCAACCTCAAAAATCTCAACAGAAAGCGAATGGGGGTGGATAATTTCTGGACTCACCCACAAAATTAGCCTCGCTAAGAGAGCGAAAGTAACAGCTATCTCTGCGAAAGTGTCTATTTGTGATATTTACGGTCCTGTGTGCTGAAAGTCCCCTTTTATTGCTGGAGGGAAAGGGCAGGGAAAGGGTAACCGGACCGACCGCTTTAAAGTTGAGGCTGTATTTTTCCCTGCCACAAAGCATTTCAGAGGTCTCTCGTCACCGGGGTTGCGGAGGGAACAGGCATCCCATGCGCAGGAGCAACTGTCACGCCTGCAGTTGTTATTTTTCTACATACTTTGCCCTGGAATCCACGATTGGTGAGCAGAAGGGACTCGCTGCTGGGAAATGGAGTGGTGGGGGGGGCAGTATCGCATCTGTCGCCTTTAAAGGGGCACGAAGGCACATGTGCTGTCACGCCCCACCAAGGCCAGACGCGTGAAGAGAGAAGAGAGAGCACACAAAAATGAAACAGGTGCCACAGAGCGGGTGGGCCAGCCCATTAGCGCAGGAAAGGAGATGGGATCTGTAAGAGCGCCACCAGCTGGAGGGCTGAGGAATAGCAGGGATGCCAGCCCCTGCAGCAGGGCAGGGGAGGATGAGCCTAGAGCGCATCAGCATCCTCAGTTCTTCCTGCTTTAAATATGACAAGTTATTGCAGGAACCACATACCAACTGAGAACCATCTGCCCGTACTGCAAGACACGCGCCTCCTTTAATCAAGCATTATCCCTATTTAATTTGCTGCCGTATTTATTTTTTGTTACTTAATTACTTGGTTTCCTTCTGCACCTCTTGGGTGAACATATAAGCCAATGCAATATTTTTTTAATTTCAACTTTGCTGGGTTGTTGCAGACAAAATATCAAAACACTTGTAGATGACAGCTGTGTGCTACACAAAAGTCAATGACAGGAAAATATGACCCATGCATGGAGAAAATGTCTTAGAAGAAAAAGAAATCTGTTTAAATATCCTAGGTGGTTAAACAAACCATTACAGGGTATGTAATACAGAATACATAAATCACAGCATTATTTATGGTTCTGTACCTTTATAATGGCTTATTCTTGTGTTTATACATTTGGTCCAATTATGCATTTATTCATGTATATTTCAAACACTTAACCTAGTCTGGGTCTCAGGGAAAAAAATAAAAGAAGCATATATACTTCATGTTCATATTATGTTATATACAACATAACAGTTAGCTGAGTCTTCCCTTGCAGATTTAAATACTACAGACCATTATTATGTGTGAGGGTAGTCTTGGTGTGTGTGAGGAATCTGTGGTGCACTAATTAGCTTGATTATCGCTGACTTTTTCCCTTGTGTGACTGTGGGCAGCGTGGCGGTAAGACGGACAGAATGCCGTGCCCAGATATTTTACAGATTTTTTTTTTGATGTCAGCATTAGAGCAGAAGGTGCTGGCCAAGGGGGGCCGGGGCTGAGGATGCGGGCGGCTGTTGTCTAGGGTGGGGCAGCAGCACAATCTGACCATTGTATATGCGGCATGCAGCTGACTGGGGATGGAATGCGAGGGCACAATGAGGCAGCGGCCTGCGGGCAGTGAGTCGGGGTGGGGACTGACTGCCAGATCGCTCCCCCAAGGGCAGCTGAACCTCCCTACCTCAACCTCGCCCCACATTTGTTTTCTGATTTCCTACAACTTACCCTGAAATCCAGGCATTTCATTGGTAATTGTGGGCTTTGCCTCAAAATAAAATGAAAAAAAAAAAATTAGCGTTACACCATGCACAGCATGTGAATCACCAAATCGCTTCGAAGTAATCATGCATTCTTACGTAGAGACATTATTTTCTCCTAAAACAATGCATGACTGTGATGGAGACAGAGAACTGTGAGTCTGAAAATGGTGCCTTTCTCCAGTGTAAATTGCTACATGTGTGCAGTGATGTGAATGTCATTAGCTCACACAGCCATGCAATTCATGCAATGTGTTGAGTGGGTGAACTAAAAACCCCTGGAAATGATGAAATTAACAACACCAAAAATAGATTATCAAAAACTATAGGTCCCCCGACTTTTTATTTTTCCAGTCAGTTTAACACAATGGAAAACGGTACTATAATGCAAGCGTGACTGAAATATCAGCACTTAACGTGCTGATCAAAATGGTTTGGAATTAACTCAGTGAGCGCAATAAGAGCGTCAAGAACTCTGCCTGTTGTTCCGGTTTTACATCTGGCAAGTTATTGCAGGAACCACATACCAAGCAAGAACCACCTGATGGTATCTCAAGAATCGCTTCACGTTTTATCTTTACTGCATTAGTTGCCTGATTTATTTTTGCCGCTAAAGTTTTCGGTTTATTATTGCACTTCTTTGGCTGACGCATAAAACCGGGATGAACTGACGCAATATGAAATGTTCATGGCGATGCTATTATTGTTGGCAAAAACGAACAAAAGAATAAAGTTACAGGGTGACGCGCAAGGTTTATGCTGACCTAGTTTCAATAGTGGGTGTTAAATATTTAAATATATGTTATATATAATTGACACAAAGACAGTGTCCTTAAAACAGTCTTAGAATAAGCTATAAGCATATATGTGGCTGCAGTTATTTATTAAAAACAATATATGAGTTATATGCCCTGCCACCTTTAATATAACGTCATTACATTTTAATCTAATGACTGCGCAAAATAAATTATATCATAACGAAAAACAACCTCATATTCACTAACTTTCATCGTTATTACCAATTTGGGAGACCACTAGTGGTGAGTGTGTGAAACAGCAACGTCATATTCATGCCCGGCATGTTCATGTTTGCTTTAGAAAATCCAGGAACTTGACATCTGTCCCATTTCACACTGTTCTAAAACAGCTGAATATCCGGCCTAACTTCATTATTCATGATAAGTATTAAATATTTATTTTAAAATGAACGCTTTCAACTGTAAACATAAAAAGTCACCTTTAAAAAGCATACATTATCCCCATACATTTTCACAAGTAATTATCATATAAGTAACATCGTTATGAAAATTAAGTACGCAGGTTATTGAAAATAACCAAATATTTTAATACATTTAATGGAATACTTTTTTGCCCAAAGAATTCATACACGAAACGCCTTTACTGTCATACTCGTCACTTTCCTCCAATCCAACTGTGCCGTTTCTCCTGGTTAGTGGGAGGATCAAATCACGTGTGCCTTGTTTCAAGGCACGATTGCATTTGTAGTTTTTACCCGCTGTGAAACGCATTCTCCCGCTTTACTCTGCTGTCGCTAAAAACACATACCCACAATGCAACGCTGTATCGCTCGCGCACACTCTTTGTGAAGTATTCCGATTTCCATGAAAAAGTAATTGTAATTGATTTGTGTTGCTAAGTATTTCAAACAATAAAAATATTTCAGTCGATGGTGACTTTAAAATAACACATGAATACACGCTAATAAACTATGATATTCAAAAGGATAAGTTGAGCCTTCCGGGTAATTAGCTCGCTAGCGTGTGCTAGTAGTATATTGATTTTTTTCTGTTTTGACGATAACTTTACATATTGCCAACAGCTCGGCGGTAAACAAAACGTCACGGGCGACACGGCGGCGGGTGGAGAGCGCGGCTGACCGACAGGTAAGCTTTTTACGCCCCGTTTTTCGTCCGCGTATTTCGCGCTGTGGCGTGGCAGCTGCACCGTTAGCCATGGAGCTCGCGTGCGCAGCACTAGCTCGCTAGGTGGCTAACTGGGCTTTTTAAGCCGCGTCCTAGTGAAACCCTGTCGGTAACTAGCAGCTGGCCCGGTTAGTTAGCGAGGTCGGACGAGTGACCGCTGTTTGCGGGACTGCGGCCGCGGATAAACTAGGTCCTGGGGAATAGCTGAAGTCTTTGATTACTGCCTAGCCCGCTACATGCCGCCCTAAGTGTGGAGGCGGGGGGCACACGATACTTTCTCTTGTTTACGTTACTGCCTGGTCAGCTGTCTGGCGTGACACTGCCAAAATCAGCAGCGGGTGATCTCCTAAAACCAGCGTTCGGATACCCTGCTCACCCCTCACAATCAGCCAATTCAGTTCTATTCTCTACCTTTCTAAAACGTTGGGAGAGGGTTACTGAAGTCTGTCGGCATATTTCCGGAGGATTAAAGCGATTTATGGCCGGTTAAATATAATCGGGTGCGATAATACGTCAGTTGGTTCTTTGGTCACATTCCCAGCAGTACTGTTTAATATGTCAGGTCAGCTGTCAGGTCCTTCACTTAAGGACGGGTTTATCAAATTTGAAGTTAAGTGAACTCTTGCACATCGCGATAAACTGTTTCTGTTAAAGAACGTTTAGGGCAGGGTGTAACCCAAGGGGGTGTGTAGGTGCGTAGTCAGTATAGGGAAATAACAACTGGCTTTCCACAGCTGTGTTCAGATGGACAAGCCTACGTTTCATGTCACATGTCAGCTCGAGGCTTGCTTTTGTGATATGGGTTAGGACAGCCTGGTAGATGTGCTGGAAATAGTCTGCCTGCGAAACGCCCGCTGCCAGCATTTATTTTTAAGAGCACCGAGAAGGTTGAGGTTCACTTGAACAGTTGGTTCGTGCCAGCCCCTGTTCTCCACCTGTCTGTAGCGAGGCTGCTTCGTGACCTGACAGCCGCTGTCAGCTATTTCCCCCCCCTCCCTTCTTCTTGGGCTCTGGTCACCTTGTGGCTCCGCTTTTCAGCTGAACTCGCGGTAAGTCCGCCCGTGCGTAATTTAAGCATCTGCCTCCAATTTTCGGGGGGGGAGGGTGCTCATATGGTGTTTCTGCAGGGACGCTCGACCTCGCTGATCTCCAGCTTTGATCTGTTAGTTTAGGCGCTTCGCCCGCACTGATATTTATTAACCGAGGCTTGATTTTATATGTTTAGTGTTCGTTACGGGTGCTGTGGAGGCTTATAGTCCCTTGACGTTTGTGTTTCTAGTTGTGTCATGTTATTTAGCCGGTGAATAGTTTGATGTCCATTTTTAGCACAAGAGCTATTCGTTCTAGCTTGGTTGTGTGGAAATCAGTATGGAAATTTTAGGTCCTATATGGGTGCAGTACTGAAAAATTGACTGCAAGCTCAGTAACAAATTAGATGTTTTTCTTTGTGTGGATTTTGAGATTAAACGTGCACCTCCTTGTGAATTTTCCAGACTGGCTTACAGCCCCTTTACATGAAGCTGTTCTTCGTGTGTTTGAGGGGGCTGTCCTGGGCCATGGGGTCTCTTCTGTCACCCACGGCTGAGAATGGATGGCCTGCCACCGGCTCATTCCTCTGTCCTGTGTTGTTGTGTTGCCGTGGAACGCAAGGCTGCTTTGAACAACGGGCGCAGGTTCCAAATGCTGTCAGTTTGGATCCGTTGTGTCATTTTATGCCAATGAACGATCAGGTTCCTTCTATATATAAATAATAAAGTGTAAATTAATTATTAAATTATTATATCTGCTGCTGTGCACGTGCAGATAGCTGAAAAAAAGAAATGAATCTGTAACAACAGTGTTGACCTGCAATCTAACAGGCAGAAATATGACTAGTGTCCAATAGAAAGCTCTCCTGGAGTTTCTCTGGGAGTATCCAGCTCATGCATCATTCACCTATTAGAAAAATGGCTTTCAGGTGTAATGTCCTAGTTCAGAATTGTTTGATTTTGACTCTGTAATACATTGTATAGTGGACTTTGCGCAGTTCGGTGACATCTATGCACCCAAAGTCATCTCTTTAAACTCCATCTCTCTCAAAGCCTTGTGGGCTTGTTTTTATTTCTAGCTGTGGTGTAAGATTTGATGCTCTGTTTTTTTATTTTCCCCGTCTCCCTGGTCCGCTGCCCCAGATGCCGCAGCTGTTACTTTTACTGGATTAAATCGCTGCGTCCTTTGGCCTTTAACTCCTTCCCCCCCCCCCCCAGCATGAAAATGTCAGCTTTGCTGCTGTTCCCTAGTCAGAGCAGGATTGTGTATGTGGCTCCCTATACAGGCAAACAGCAGTTGATCGACAAGGTGCCCGTTAGCCCGTGTGCACACGGCTTCTGCAAATTAATGTGGTGTTGAAAGTTTATATAGATGTTGGCTTCCTGTGACATCACCTCAAAGGACGGCTCTCTCAGTCTCTCTCTCTCTCTCTCTCTCGCTCTCACCCAGGAGGGGCAGATAAGGGGCAGGCACCAGCGGGAAGCAGTCAGCTCTTCACACACCCCCAGTCTTTCTGCACTTACACAACGCAGCACACGGCTGGCTCCCGTTGTCTCTTTGCCTCTGAGGGTCAGCGGTGAGGATGATGTGTTGGCCTGCCCTGGGGCTGATGGCCTAGCCAGTGGCTACACAGAGCCAGCGTAGCAGGGGGGAGGGAGGGGGTGAGGGTTGTGGAATGCTGCGGTGGACGGTGCACCTGGAGGGTGGCCCGCGGCGGGTCAACCACGCGGCAGTGGCTGTGGGCCACAGAGTCTACTCCTTCGGGGGTTACTGCTCTGGTGAGGACTATGAGACGCTGCGACAGATCGACGTCCACGTCTTCAATGCAGGTGAGCCAGCTCGACTTCGTAAGTTGCTTCCTGCCCAAACCAGGCCTGGGCCACCCCGTCTCCAGGCCTCGCTGCAGGTGTCAGCCCTGTGCAGGTGTTGCTTTTCTGTCAGGGGCCCTGCTTTGACTCACCTTCATATCATGACTGTGTCTTTGCCCCAACCCCCCACCTCCCCACCTCCCACCTCCGCTCAGCACAGAAACCCCACCTTAAAACCTCAATACCGCAGCAGATGTGTCAAGCACCGTGGCATGTCGATTTGCTGCAGTTGCTACTTGTGACCCAGTTTGTCCTCGAGTGCGTGTCCTTTTCTGAAAGTAAAAGAATTTGACGTCTGTTTAAGGGCACAATCTTTACATTCTGATCAGCTTCCCTGCTAGTTAGAATCCTCATTAGAGACATATTTGGAATGTGATTGGTGTGTCAGGTGAATATGCGTGTACCTGTGCCCATGACCCCACACCCAGCTCCTCCTCTGTTTTTTCTTTTTTCAGTGTCACTGCGTTGGATGAAATTGCCACCTGTGCGCACTGGCGGGAGGGAGCATGCGCGGGAGGTGCCCTACATGCGTTATGGCCACACGGCCGTGCTGGTGGACGACACTATCTACCTGTGGGGGGGGCGCAACGACACGGAGGGGGCCTGCAACGTTCTCTATGCCTTCAACGTCAGTGAGTTTCCGCCAGTACCCACAATGCAATCTGTTCGAGATTCTGTTTGCCTTCGAGGTGTGGTAGAATAGGGTGGCAGACAGCGGTGCCCCAGGGAAGAAGCCACTGGACTTACAGATTCTTTCACACCATGCAAGGCCATTTCCCCCTCACCCCCCTCTCCTTGGTGCCACAGACAATCACAGGTGGTCCACGCCCAAGGTTTCCGGGACGATCCCAGGAGCGAGAGATGGGCACTCGGCCTGTGTCCTGGGGAAGACCATGTACATCTTTGGTGGATATGAGCAGCTTGTAGGTAGATTCTGGGCATAACTTGTGCCCACTGATGATGTTTGACAGCGCAGGATATCCTGAGAGGGAATAAGACACGTCAGTTTATTTCCGTGCCTCTTTCTCCCCTACAGGCTGACTGTTTCTCTAATGACATCCACAAGCTAGACACAGTGACCATGACCTGGTCTTTGGTCAATGCCAAGGTGAGTGTCAGCAGTGTTCACGTGAAAGCGGTCATCCGGCAGGGGATGGTCATGGTATTTCTAGGCCCTCTCTGGTTTGTTCCTGTCTTTGAATGAAGGTCAAGGGCAGATTTATTTAAATGACCCGTTTAAAATCAACCGAAGTTGCACCAAAGTGCCGTACAGAGTAAGAAAGAAAATAAATAAATGAATAAGTAAAATTTAAAAAGAAAACAAAATGAAAATAAACACAAATTAAGCAGAATATTAAAGGGGCAACAAGCCAAAAGAAAAAAATATATGTTTTTCAATGAGACTTAAAAATCGCAACGGAGGAGATGAGCTAACATGAGCAGACAGGTTACTGCGCAGCCTATGAGCAGCGTGGACCATAGTACCAGCAAATTAAGCTGGTTACTTGACATCAGAAGCTGGGCACTAGAATTGAACTGTTTCTCCAGAACCTGCAGTAGGAAAGTGGGAACTTTGAGGTGTCTTTTTCTGGAAGAAACTTAACAGCTTTGTTTGGCAGTGGTAGTGTGGAGGTTCCCGATAAGTAGTGTCACCATCGAGTTGAGGCCTAGAAGGTTTGGGACCAGACATCACATCAGATCCCTTGTCTAGGATCTTTTCACTGCCCTGGGTCTGGGGCTCCGGCAGGGCTTGGTTGAGGCTTTGAAGTCCGCAGAGCTGCGTGGGATTGTAGGGCTCTGGCGGTCTGTCAGAACAGATTAACACGTGTCCCCGCCCCGCCTGGGGGCCATCCTGCGGCTCGTTACTGTGGGTCTAGCCGCTCCCGTCAGCCGCTGGGCTGTTATGGAGGAGACACGGCATCATGGGAAGGGTCCTTCTGTGACGTGTCTTAAGATGTCTCTGTAGTGGCTGTCACATCATGCTGCTCTTTTTTTTTTTTTTTTTTTTTTTTTTTAAACTAATGCAGGTTTCTACATTCCTTCAGTCTTTGTTGCATGGATTCACTCTTCCTTATGCTTTGTTTGTATGTATATTCCATCACTGTCCTTTCTGGGAATGGCTGATCTTTTTAACAATATGGGTGTATTTAAGCAGTAAACAAAGGTGTGGACCGTTTGCTTTGTGGCCGGTTGTTTCGTTGACAAGTTATTCAGCTAGGCCTGGTCTCCTGCCAAGTTGTTACATAAGAAGGCCACCAGATGGCACTGTTTGCCTGTTATTGTCTGTCGTGTTATTTCTAGGGAGAGAATAAACGTGTATGATATTTTTCTTCTTCTGGAAAATAAGTATAATGTACAATGAATTCTTGTAAAGTATAAATGTTGTTTTAAGAATGATTTATTAAGTTTAGGATGATATAAATGGCTCTGCATTGATCAGCCTGCGTCTAACAGTGGGGTGGAAATGCTGCCTGTCTCCTTTTCCTCTCACTCAGGGTACACCGGCTCGCTGGAGGGACTTTCATTCTGCCACTATCATCGGCAGCAAGATGTTTGTGTTCGGGGGACGGGCCGACCGTTTCGGGCCATTCCACTCCAACAACGAGATCTACTGCAACAAGATCAAGGTGTTTGACACAGACACCAACTGCTGGCTGGACTCCCCCTCCACGCAGCTGCTACCCGAGGGACGCCGGAGCCACTCAGCCTGTAGGTGGCGCTACACATGCACAGAAATATGCTGTCGTTAATGAATAGCACACGTGCACTGAAACATGTACAAATGCACATGCACGCAGTTATGTATATTTATCATGCTATGCCTGGATCATGTTTGAAATTTATGTTCATTCATGAGAGTTTATTTCTGGAATTGCATTTCCTAATTACAGATTTCTTCAAAGCCACTTAGATCGATATGTTAATACACAACAGTCTCACCACTAGGGGGCACCACAGTGGCACAGATGAATACTACGTCTAAAAAAAGTCATTACCAGTAATAGTCAATGAAGCACTTTTATAGTTAGGAATAATTCTGAGAAATATGACTGCTGTAGAAAGGTCAATTTGTGCACATATAAATTTAAAACTCTTAGTTACTGTGTAACCTTGGGTAACTTGTGCAGTTGGCTTAAGAAAATACAGTGAAATTCCAGGAGAGGGGTTGCTGATTGTGCTGGACCAGACTGCGTCTTAGCCTTGTTCTCATAACTGAAGCTGGTCTGTCGACCTTGTCTTATCTGAAACCCTTCTGATCAGCGAGGTCCATCACTGGGCTGGGTGAGGCAGCTCCTTGAGACTTACCACTGCCCACCCTGAACTGTGGGGCCGACAAGGTCATCTAAAGGGTCGCCTCGCTGAGCACTCGGCGTATGTGATTGTGTCAGATAGCTGGTGTCGATGCCTCTTTGACGAAGGGCACAGGCTTTACTCTGCAGTTTTTCAGTTCTCTCTTAATTTGTTTCCGCATTCCTCTGGGGATAACACTGTTGCCTCACATCTCCATGGTTAGGGGTTCGAATCTCGCCTCCGGTTTGTGTGTTTGGACTTGGGATGACTCTGTCTGTGTGACGTGGGACGACTTTGGGTACTCCAGCTTCTCCAGCTAAATAAATGTAAATGTGATGGACATGACTAATTTGCCCCTAGCATATGACTGTTTGTCTGTATGCATGTGCACTGTGATATGGCAGGAAAATGGTCGAATGGATAGGTGTGCAACCAATCAGACGTGTTGGTGATCAGTGGGATAACCGGGGTCTATTTGCTCATTCGCAGACATTAGGTCACCCGTTGCCATACAGTCAGGCTCTGCCCAAGGCCTCTGTAACCTGTTGCTTGTTTCCTCGTTCTGAGGATGTGTTGGTAACTCTTGTCTGTTCCCTCTCCTCCCTGACTGCAGTCGCGTATAACGGGGAGCTCTTCATCTTTGGAGGCTACAACGCCCGCCTGGACCGCCACTTCAATGACCTCTGGAAGTTTAATCCAGGTCAGTGAAGCTCCCGTTAAAATCCCGCCGTCTAGCCGCCGCGGCTCCTTCCCCTTTCGGCCGGGAGATCTTCGATTTGTGAGTGTCTAAGTTGGCGGGTTAACGCTGCCGCGTTCTCCCCTGGTGCTCCAAGAGTTTCACAGCGGGTTAAAAGCGCACAATATGTGTTAAGCACTGGGTTAAACATTCTGGATTTCAGACGAAGTTTAGCCGGACGCTGCCGTCCCTCGCAGCGAAGCGCCGCCGGACTCCGGGCCTCGTTCTGCTGACTTAGGCTCCCACCCACGCGTTATTAAGAAGATGGAGTCCCTCCAATCTCTGTCACCCTTTGCTCTTGAACATGGTGTGGAATTAAAAGCACAGGTGTCCCATTTGTTCTGTTACATGCTGCGGACCTGTAGATAGAACCTACTTTCGTTCCTGTCTTGTTTTAAATCAGTTTAATTTAAAACCACTAAATCGTGTGCTGGTATATATATAGTACTCTTCCTTTGCCAGTGTTTTTATTTACTTCTTGCTTTTTTGTAACCCTCGGCCAACGCCTGTGCCCATGACCCATTTTCAAGCAAAGTAAGTCATCCTGTAGCTTCGCAGCTCCCACGGCTGCCCAGGGCTCATTCGGTGACGTGCTCTTGGATTACATGGTCTGTTACCATGGTGATGGCATGACGCCGCCGAATTGCTGCTTTGGCTAAGCCCATTGGAGCCTTTCCTTATTTGGCATGGCTGGGTGAGTGGCAGCCCAGTCATTTTGCATCATTTCAGCAAAAGGGCAGCCGTCTGTGAAGCGTGACGTCGATGTGGGGGAGGGGGTGGGGGGCATGGGGGGTGCAGAGGTGTCAGGCATAGTGTGCCGTGGCTGTGCCATGTGACCAGGGCTGTGGGGTCTGACTCCTCCACACACTCGGCGTCGCTGTCAGACGTCGCCCAGGCTCCACGCTAAACGCGTGTGCGTACATTTCTGTCTGCAGAAAGCTTCTCTTGGAAGAAGGTGGATCCCAAGGGGAAAGGTCCATGTCCTCGAAGGCGTCAGTGCTGCTGCATGGTGGGAGACAAGATCATCCTGTTCGGGGGAACCAGGTAAAGGGCTCTGAGGTGCACTATGCCATACTGGCACCCCCTGCTGGCCACTCTTTGATTTGCAGACTCTACATCATTCCTTCTGGTGCCTGGTGACTCCAAGTGCCACAATCTCCTTTTTTTTATAACAATGTACAGAATATATTATTATTTTAGCGCAGTTGTATTCACTCTTAAACCTTTGTCATAACCTTACCTTGATCATAGAAGCTTGTTGCAGTTGTGATACAGGGGGTTGGGGGGGGGGCGCATGAGAGGACTTCCTGCAGCTGCAGCCTCCAGAATGGCTGGGAAAGGTGTCTTCGGTAAGGCTGGGTGGGGTGAGGGGGTGCTTAATTAAGAACCCCCCCTCCCCACCCGACGCCCTGATAGCCCAGTAGCCGTGTAACAAGGTAGCTAATGGCAGGGCTCCCCCCACCCCGGAGTCCTGACCGCCCCCCCCGCCTCCCTCATTGGGCACCATCCAGGAGACCCCCGTTATCAGCGGCCCATGGACGCGTAGTGGGGTTATCAGCTGAGCCCCACTGGGCTGGGCGCTCCGCTGGGCCCAGCGGTGCTGGGATTAGCTGTCTGCAGCTCCGCCATGGCACACTCACCCTGATAAGCCCCCCCAGGGAGCCCCCCTGCCCCATTCGCAGCCCTCGTTATTAGCCGATTAGAACGCGAAACTCCTGTGCGTGGGCTGTTTGCCGGTGCCCGGAGCAGCCTGGGAAAATGGCTGCTGGGAGACGGCGACTGCTTGTTATGCAAGAGGGATTGTCATGGAAACGGAGCGACGGTCAACCTGCGGTAGTCAGGCTGACCTTTTGAGCCTTTAAGAACAACCATGTAAGAGTCTTAAAGTGTTTGGAGTAGATGGTGCAAGATGATTTTGATTTTTGCGTTTTGTAATGAGGAGAAACTGGATGGTGGAGTTGGTGTAGAACACCTGGAACTATGCTGTGGGGGAGTTGGGGCTGGGGGGCTGCTTGGACAGGATTAGGGAAAGTAGTGAGGCATGGGCAGGCGGGACAGGAGAGTGAAACTCGGGCATTATTAATTGGGGCTGGCTCAGCCTGATGGCTTCCTCTTGGGATTAGAGCGGAGTTTGTTTTCAGGAATCATGATTTCCTGTCCAACAGTGACAGCAGGGGGTTTTAAGTTGACAAGGCAAAGAAAACGATTATTTTAACCCCACAGATTTATTGCAAGCTTCTCCTAATGGGTGAGCTGAGAAGTACTTTTCCAGCACACTCTGCCGGTGCAGTGTGCTGAGCAGCCAGTCCTCTACTGGCAGTCCATTTGTTTATTTTTCAGTGGTTAGTTAATTATCTCAGTCTTGCGTGTTGTAAACTTAGTGGCCAATGCAGAGAGCTTTTTAAGTATATTTTTTGACGAGCACAATTTATTTTTTAACAGCTCACTTTATACTTAAGCTAGCACACTCTTGAAGTTAAAGTTTATCAGGCCAGTTGTGATAATAGACAGTGAAGTACAGCAGACAGTGAAGCCTCGGTTGACACCAGGCCCTTAAATCCGAGTGGTGAGGTTTTACAGTCTCAAAGAACGTGTTCTGCATCAGAGCCACTGGGGCATTGGATGGGCATGGATACCCAGTCAGATTCAGGGGGCTCGGCGCTTGATTGGGGCCCTTGAATACATAAAATCATATGCAAGATGTCATTTTGTCTGGGGTCCCAAAATTCCTAGGTACACCCCTGCAGAACTATAATGCATCACTCAGCAGTGATACATGGAATCCCATCCTTAAGGATTCTGAAGAAACTCTCACTTTTTGGCTGGGAAGGCGGCTGGGAATGGGCCTCGTGTGGGGCGGCAGGTCCCAGCCGTGCGTCTGTCGGCCATGCCCCGCGGGGTTCTCCTGCTTGTGCGTTGTTTCTAGTTACTGTACAAATTAGAACACGATCCCGACAAGCCCGGCGTGAACGGACCACACAGAGGCTCAGCCCACCTGCCCGCCTGCATCCTCTGGGGCGGCTGCTCCGCACAGAAGGCCCAGCAGCTCCACCGTTTATTTACCCTGGGGCTGAGAAAGTAAAAGCTCACCTCCACCCCTCCCTGCCAACGTGACCTGGTCTGTGTGCTCATCTTCTGTCACCTGGGAAAGCTTGTGTGTCGTCAAGCTGAAATACAGGGAAGTGTGTTGTTGTTCATTTTGGTTTATTCTGTGAAAGGTACCGTGCTTCCATTATTTCTCTGTATTTATAATTCCTAACTCCTACCACAGCTGAAACAGTCCAGATGCCACTTTAGGTGTTTATTTGTATTTGGAGAAACGTCACTGAAATAAGCGAAGCGATTATGTGTGGACAAGTAACGGCTTGTTTGCGCGACCCCGCGATTGAGGAGCACGCTGCGGGCACCTCGCGTCCGGTCGGCCCGCGACACCCGTTCAGATTTACGCTTTGGCCCTTTGTTTCCCGGGAACGCCACCCTCTCAGACTGATCCAAGACAGAGCGCCCTCGCTTGATATTCCACTGCCGTTTATGATATTTACTTAAGCGCAGGAATTTGTAGCGCGATAATTTATTGTTTTACTGAAGCACAATAAAAGCGTTAACACCGCGAGCCTACTGTGTTCAAAGGGGTTAGATCGGGGCCCAGCAGAACAGCACCTGGGCAGCTTGGTGACTAGCCTTCGGTGCCCGCGGCGGATGGGGCATGGGGGGGGTTTGTGCACTATTCAATAGCTTCTTTGTGCAAGTGAGTACTTGTGGTCTGAGTTGACAGGAAGTGTCATAGCCAGGCTATTTTTTAATGTTGTGCCTGGGGATTTTTGGCTTGTACATGTGTAATTAAAGGGTTGATTTATTTTTAAGTGTTCTTGCTTATCATTTTCAGTAAATATAAACGACTCGTCCTGTGCTAAGTGTGTGTGGGTGTGTGCGTTCGCGCTCGCAGTCCCCGTGAGGCCTGAGCAGTCTAGGTGCTAGTGGCAGCCATTCAGTGCCACTTACAGCAGTGTAAACAGGCCTGCTGAGCAGTGGAGGGGCGTGAAATTCTGCCGGACGTCCTGATTTATTGCCCCTGGGAGTCGCCCCCCTCCCCATGAGCGCGAAACCTGAGCCAGCTGCGGGGCCCGGGCTCTGCTGAACTCGTTTACGGCCGGGGGAGACTCCGCGTTCGGCTTGACCACACACTGACCATCTAGAGTTTGTCTGCGCTTTGCCTTCCCGGCGAGATGGCTGGGTTTACCGTAGTGATGCGTGGTATCAGTCTATCCATTATTTATCCTGGGGGTTTTGTGAGTTGCTGCTCTACTGGCCTCAGCCATGCTGCCGTAACCCCCTCTGTACTGTTACAGTCTTGCGACAGTTATCAAAGGACAAAGTAGTTATTTCGTGCGCCACACATTTTAACGTAATTTGGCCATAAGTATTTGGGGACCATTTACTAGTAAGTCTGACACAAAGCACCTGAATGTGGAGTAGTGTGAGTTCGCAGAAAGCGGGCAGCGATAACCCCGCAGATACGCTCCCCGCCTGTCACAGTGTGCAGTGTGCCGTGGGTGTGCACGCACACACACACGCGCGTGTGAGCATGATGTCATCGCCCTTCCTGCGCGCCGCCTCACGTGGCGCTGAGGCCAGGAGCCCCGCCTGGTCTCCGCGGGGTTGGGAACAGGGCATTCTCTGCCCGACAGGATGTTTGTCGGGGACGCGACAGATTGGCATGCTGGGAGAGGGCAGCTTGGCCGCGACGGCGCTGGGTCACTCTTCCTGGGACTTTTATTATTTATTTGTTTTATTTCTCCTGGCGTTCCGGTGAAAAAATCATAGGTGGGGAGGGCTTCGGAGCGCCGGCTAAAGACGTACCGACTGGGGTTTGCGTCAGCACGTCACATGTTTAGCAAAGCCGTCAGCTGGAGTCGAGGCACAGCAGGAGGTGGAACGGGAGGCCCAGTCTGACAGGAAACACTTGTAAATAACAAGGCCGTCCTGGAAATAGTTCAAATTGGCTGAATTCAGTAATAATTTAGAGTTTAATGTATTTAATTTGCTGTGATTTGTTAGTGCACTGTTCATTTTCCTCGCTTAGAACCTGTTTTAGCAGAATCATCATCGATGGGCTTGGCTGCGACCTGCTCCTACCGGTGCTGATTCGCTGGCCATAGTGACTGTGCGCCTCCGTGTATATTTGTGTGCTTTGGGCCGAGGGCACTAATGGTGGATTAGTGGATGAAAGCTGCAAATTGAGCCTTAAGAACTCCTGGATTACCAAGCCTCAGGGCTTTATCTAAAGCCAGCCGGCCACTGGGACGAGCCCAGGGCCAATCGGTTAACTCCCACATGCATTTCAGCCGCATGCCTTCCTTCTGCGACCTTTGTTTGTTTGTGGCCGCGAATTGTCCAGCTAATTTGTCAACGCCGTCGTGACCCTGGGATTGTGAGTGCTGTGTCGCTTCTGCGATGGTGACCTCGTGACCTTGCCCCTCAGTTTACCACCAGGCCATTTCATGTGTTTGTGTGTTTGTTCTGAAGTTAGACTCCAGCAATGGTGGCAAAATTCGTGCTGTCACGCAGCATGTGGCCGTATAGGGGGCACCGTCTTCAGGTGGAATTGAGAATGTCAGTCCTCGATTCTCCTGCATCCCTGTCTAGCAGTGACCGGCTGTTAGTGGCGTGTGAAGATGGTGATCACCTTGGCGGAGTTTGTATCAGGGATCCGTTGACACTCCCTTCTCGATCCCTGCAGAGAATTAAAAGACCTGCAGTTTGGGCAAAAATAGACACGAAAGAAGGTGTGCGACAGGGAGCGATCGGGTCAGCTCCGCCATTCCGGGCTGCGGGGGCACCATCTGCCGCATCCAGGTCCGTGGGCGCCGGAAAAATCTGTCGAGGCACTCTCGCAGAGCCACGTGTGCGCCCTGCACGCTCTCCGGAGAGGCAGCGGTGACGTGGTTCAGAGGGTGAAGCCGCAGTGACTCACTGCCTCGTCACCGGGCGCCGCCTCTCGTGTCGCATAATCCTGCACACTAGATGGTGGCGGGAGATGACTTGAGG